TACCCTGTGTTGTGTGGCTTCATACTGTGTTGCACTGTTTTGTGTTCTTTTATGTTGTGTTGTCTTGTATTATGCTCAAGTATGTTGTATTTTATTGTATTGTGTTGCATTGTATTGCCATGTCAATTTATTATTTTCCAAGATGTACAGTATTAGGCTGTATTAAGTTGTTCAGTGATGATAGTGCAAAACTGTGTTGTACCATCACCAGATGAGAGAACTCATCACTGAAGGAAGTATCAGCTGGGAGAACTCATCACTGAAGGAAGCATCAGCTGGGAGAACTCATCACTGAAGGAAGTATCAGCTGGGAGAACTCATCACTGAAGGAAGTATCAGCTGGGAGAACTCATCACTGAAGGAAGCATCAGCTGGGAGAACTCATCACTGAAGGAAGTATCAGCTGGGAGAACACATCATTGAAGGAAGCACCAGCTGGGAGAACTCACCACTGAAGGAAGCACCAGCTGGGAGAACTCATCACTGAAGGAAGCATCAGCTGGGAGAACTCATCACTGAAGGAAGCATCAGCTGGGAGAACTCATCACTGAAGGAAGCATCAGCTGGGAGAACTCATCACTGAAGGAAGCGCCAGCTGGGAGAACTCATCACTGAAGGAAGCACCAGCTGGGAGAACTCATCACTGAAGGAAGCACCAGCTGGGAGAACTCATCACTGAAGTAAGCATCAGCTGGGAGAACTCATCACTGAAGGAAGCATCAGATGGGAGAACTCATCACCGAAGGAAGCACCAGCTGGGAGAACTCATCACTGAAGGAAGCACCAGCTGGGAGAACTCATCACTGAAGGAAGCACCAGCTGGGAGAACTCATCACTGAAGGAAGCACCAGCTGGGAGAACTCATCACTGAAGGAAGCGCCAGCTGGGAGAACTCACCATCGAAGGAAGCATCAGCTGGGAGAACTCATCACTGAAGGAATTATCAGCTGGGAGAACACATCACTGAAGGAAGCACCAGCTGGGAGAACTCATCACTGAAGGAAGCATCAGCTGGGAGAACTCACCATCGAAGGAAGCATCAGCTGGGAGAACTCATCACTGAAGGAAGCACCAACTGGGAGAGATCATCACTGAAGGAAGCACCAGCTGGGAGAGCTCATCACTGAAGAAAACACCAGCTGGGAGAACTCATCACTGAAGGAAGCATCAGCTGGGAGAACTCATCACTGAAGGAAGCATCAGCTGGGAGAACTCATCACTGAAGGAAGCACCAACTGGGAGAACTCATCACTGAAGGCAGAAGTGAAGGAAGTGGTCTGCATTCATGAGAGACGCTGGAGGGCAGCCCAGACCAACAGCTGGGTGAAAGTTATCATCTTAAAGGGATGAGGAGGCCAGAGCAGGTGTGTGTGTGTGTGTGTGTGTGTGTGTGTGTGTGTGTGTGTGTGTGTGTGTGTGTGTGGTGTGTGTGTGTGTGGTGTGTTGTGTGTTTGTGTGTGTATGTGTGTGTGTGTGAGTTTGTTTGTGTGTGTGTGTGTGTGTGTGTGTGTGTGTGTGTGTGTGTGCTCACCTAATTATGGTTTCAGGGGCCGATTCATAACTCCTTACCCCTCCTTACTGGTCGCTGTGTGTGTATGTATGATGGGCGTCCGCCATGGACGTTCAGATCCGACTCAATGCCTATGGACGCCTCTGGGACGCATACTCACCCAAGGGGAAGGGGTGAGGGGCTTTAGGGGGAAGGGGAAGTAAGTCTGAATCCCCACTCCTTCCCCCACGCATCCTAAGGCTACCCTCAAGTCTTACAACACGCCTCAGGAAGGCTGACTCACTCAGACTTTACCTCCCCCTAGCATCTCTGAACATCTTAACTACATACCCTCAATTAGCTAATATCGTATAGGAGTTTAAGTAATTTTTCTTGGTATATTCAATAATACATATCCATATTGATCATCCAGGAAAGTAAGAGTCCATGGATGGAGATAGAGGTTGATGGTGGAGGTGGGGGAGGCTGCCGTAACACTCACTGGATCGGTATCTACCCAGCGTTGAAGTCTCCAGGGCTGCCTATGCTGACTTACGAGGGACTACGCTTCTAAACCTCTTCATCCTCTGCCGAACATCATTAACACTTCTTAAGCTTTTGCTGTACCTTCTAAACCTTTTGCTACACCTTTTAAACCTCTTCAGAACTTCTCCAACACTACCTTAAGAGTTTGATACACCTTTTAAATTGCTTCTATACCGTCTAACCTTATCCAGCACCTTCCAAACCTAACACCTCAATGTCTACAACACTTTCTAAAATTCTGCAATATTTTCTATCTATATTTTACACCTACTAAACCTCTTCTATAAGTTCTAAATCTCTTTTCTTAGTCAGTCTGGTGTTGGTGGTAGATGTGTGGTAGTGGTGGTGAATGGGTGTGGTGGTGGTAGTGGTGGTGGATGGGTGTGGTGGTGGTGGATGGGTGTGGTGGTGGTGGATGGGTGTAGTGGTAGTAGTGGTGGTGGTGGTGGATGGGTGTGGTGGTGGTAGTGGTGGTGGTGTGGTGTGGATGGGTGTGGGGGGGTGGTGGGTGGTGGTGGTGTGGTGGTGGTGGTGGGATGGGTGTGGTGGTGGTGTGGGTGGATGGGTGTGGTGGTGGTAGTGGTGGTGGATGGGTGTGGTGGTGGTAGTGGTGGTGGATGGTGTGTGGTGGTGGTGGTGGTGGTGTGGTGGTGGTGGATGGGTTGTGTGGTGGTAGTGGTGGTGTGGTGGAATGGGTGTGGTGGTGGTAGTGGTGGTGTGGTAGTGTGGTGGTGGATGGGTGTGGTGGTGGTAGTGGTGGTGGTGGATATGTGTGGTGGTAGTAGTGTGGTGGGGGTAGTTGGGGATGGGTGTGGTGGTGGTGGTGGATAGTTGTGTGGTGGATGGGTGTGGTGGTAGTAGGTGGTGGGTGGATGGGTGTGGTGGTGGAGTGGTGGTGGTGGATGGGTGTGGGGGTAGTAGTGGGGGTGGTAGTTGTGGATGGGGGTGTGGTGGTATGGGGTGGTGGATATGTTGGGGGTGATGGGTGTGGTGGTGTGGTGGTGGTGGTAGTGGTGGTGGTATGGGTGTGGTGGTAGTAGTGGTGGTGGTTGTGGATGGGTGTGTGGTGGTAGTGTGGTGGTGGATTGTGGTGGTGGGTGGTGGTGGGGTGTGGTGGTGGAGTGTGGTGGATGTGTGTGGTGTGTGGTGTGGTGGTGGGGGTGTGGTGTAGTGTGGGTGGATGGGTGTGGTGGTGGTAGTGGTGGTGGATGGGTGTGGTGGTGGTAGTGGTGGTGGATGGGTGTGGTGAGATAGTGTGTGAGAGGTGTGTTGGTAGAATGTCGCGGATGAAAGAGGGTGGAGAAGAGGATGAAGAGAGAGAGGAGAGAGAGAGAGAGAGAAGAGAGGGAGAGAGAGAGAGAGAGAGAGAGAGAGAGAGAGAGATGAGGGAGAGGAGAGAGAGAGAGAGAGAGAGAGAGAGAGGAGAGAGAGAGAGAGAGAGAGAGAGAGAGAGAGAGAAAGGGGCTTCGGAATAAGATCTGTAGTGAAGGTTATTGATGCTAGTATGAACTGCGACGCGTGCCGACACGGCCCCCTGAAGCGACCCACAAGCAGGCAGGCAGAGAGAGAGAGAGAGAGAGAGAGAGGAGAGAGAGAGAGGAGAGAAGAGAGAGAGAGAGAGAGAGAGAGAGAGAGAGAGGGAGAGAGAAGAATTGTGCTGATGAGAAATCAAACGCGGACTTAGAGTCATCCACAGACAGAGTGAAACCACGGAGCTTTAATTTCTAGCTGATGAAACCCAGGAATCTTCAGCCTCGAGTCAGGTGAAACCAGCTTCCTCCAGTCCCAGGTCCGGTGAGAAAAATGTTTCTTACCAGCATATATCCCAAAGTCAGTTTCTTGTTGCAAGGCGATCAATATAGTCGTGTGTGTGTGTGTGTGTGTGTGTGTGTGTGTGTGTGTGTGTGTGTGTGTGTGTGTGTGTGTGTGTGTGTGTGTTGTGGGTGTGTTTGTGTGTGTGTGTGTGTGTGGTTTAAAAAGACCACTGTTATCAATGTTTTGGAATTTTGTTACAATAGCAGGCCAGTACTGATGACTTAATGCCTAAGTCCAATTTGACAGGTTTTTAACGCTTTTAAGACGAATTTAGAGTTTTAATGCCCACAATTCCTATATAGGTGGATTTTAATGCTTAAGTCCAGTATAAGGTTTTAAATACCCGTAAGTCCAATCTAAAAGGGTTTTCTTTCTCATAACTTCAATATAAGTGTCTTTCAAATCTTATAAACCCAGTCTAAAATGTTTTTAATACTCATAAACCCAAAATAAAAAGTTTTTAGTCCCCATAAGACCATATTGCCAGGAAGACCAATTTTTTTTTTTTACGTTACGTTAGGCTTCCAATGGCCTTTAAATACCACAAATGAAATATATTTGTTTATCAAGAAACAAATAATGTAAATAAATTTTTCTCGTTTTAGGAATAACTTAATTAAAAATATAAGTTATTATGTTGGTAACTGCAGAATAATTTTTAAAGTCTAGATCCCGAGTGAAAGAGGCAAGCTTAGAAACCAGGTCGGGAGTAATATTAAATGGTTTTAACAGATGGCATCGGATAAGAGAAAAAAAAATGGTCTCAACAAATGGCTTCTGACACGAAGCTTAAAAATGGGAGAAACAGAAGCAAAAAAGGAAAAAACTCACTAATAACTGGTTTTGAGAGAGAGGAGGATGCTTCTGGTGTGGAATTCGGATGTTACGATTGCTCTCTCGGGCGTAAAGAATGAGAGGAGGATGTTTTCTACAGAAAACAGAAGAATAAATATGCGTTTTAGAGAGATACTAAGATACAGTGGTTTCTAAATCTGGACTAAATTGGGATCTGTATATTAAGAATGAAGATTTAAAAAAAAATGAAGATATGATAAGATGTTTAAAGAGAATGAATGAAAGGTTGGGAAAGCAACTGAGAAGATTGGATTGGAGAGAAATCATTAACTTAGAGAGTTGGGATGAGCCTTACCTCAAGTGAATTGGCTGGAGGTCCTCGCTGCCGTAGCGACGGCATTGGTGTAGGACTGGTCCTGCTGAGTGCCTCGTCTGGGCCGGAGTGGCAGACACATGGATAATCCTGGTGGCACAGGGGAAAATTAGGGACCCCAAACTGCCTGGTTCCTCTTCAGCACTCTTTTTTAATATGGCAGGGTGTTGTTCTTTTAGGCAGGCTAAGGCACTTCAAGCTCTTCGTAGTCCTGAGCGAGACGTAGGTCTCAAAGCACGGCTCTTCCACTTCCTTGCTCTGCGATGTTTCGCATCGCATGTCCTGGCACTGTTGCTGTTGGTGCCAAGGCCAGAGGGGCACTCTTGAGGTATAGGGTGCACATTTACTGTAGCACTACCTGGGCGTATGGAGGTCGTATGTGTTTTCCTGAGTAATCTTCAAAGTACCGTCTACTCCAGACTGTAAGGTTGATGAGAAAAATGTCTATTCTAGGCTGTAAGGTTGATGAGAAAGCCGTCTATTCCAGGCTGTGAGGTTGATGAGGAAGAGACGTCTATTCCAGGCTGTGAGGTTGATGAGAAAGCCGTCGACACTGGTGTGAGGCGACCTTAGTTAACTACAATTTAAGCACATATTTGTCCTCTCTGAACCGTCGAAGTAAACATTATACCCGCCACTAGGGAGGTAAACATACGATGGAAATCTTCCAGCAGGAAGACACTGCCAGCTTTATCTCACGATTCCTCACACGAACCACAAACACAACATCACTTGCAACTCCTCCTATGTACATAAAACAAATTCTTTGAAGGATAATATATCTTGCTTTGTTTCACACAGTTTTTTACGGGATAATGTAGATCACAGGAAGAGTAACCATGGTGCATCTGGGAAACTTTATCTGCCAGTAGTCACTGGAACGCCGAAATCTCTTGGAGTGATAGCCCGATGAACTCCTTGACGTTCCGAGGAAGAGTAGTGGTCCTTGCGGGCGTGGAGGAGTAAATATGGGCGTGAGGAGGTGGCGGGTGGGCGTGGTGAGGGCGGTGGGTGGTGGTTGTGGGGGGATAGGGGCGTTAGGTGGGGGGAGGGGAAGGCTGCAGGTAGGTAACAGTGGCCAGAGAGGTGGAGCTCCGCTGTGGACAGAGCCGCCAACCAGACTAACTCGTGCTGTGTTGATCTGTGGCCCGTCCGCCACACCCAGCCAGTCGCACACACACACGCACACACACACGCACACGGACACACATACACACACACACACACATCGTGGCCCACCCTCGCCGTATGTGTAGCAGTTTTTATATTATACCGTTACGTTTTCAACTGCGCTCCAAGACTAATTCAATCCTCCTGAATCCCTCCTACACCCGCCACTCCCTCTCACTCCTCCAGTACCAATCCCAATCTAATCCCTCCTATCCCAACTCAGTCCCTATGGAATCCATTGCAACATGACGACACGGAACCAAAAGATTTGCAACAGAACGAAGGAAGATGAAACGTGATGCTTACACTCTCAGGCTGTAATATTTAAGTCGACGAGTCCAGATTCAGAGTACTTGGGCGTCCGTAAGGGTTGAAATCCTGCATTATGGCTAGGGAAGAGCGACTTATGGGGCTCCTGGAGCACAATCCAGGCTTCGTCCAGGCGCCCTTGAGGTAAAAGGATTGTGTTGGTTGATTCAGTATTCTGGGTTGTTGATTGAGAGCATGTAAATGATGGTGGAAGTGAAGGTGTTGATGGTGATGTTGGTGGTGATGGTGATGTTGGTGGCGATGGTGATGTTGGTGACGATGGTGGTAACAGTGATGATGATGACAGTGGTGCTGGTGTTGTTATTGCTTGTGGTGTGATGGTGGTGGTGATGGTGGTGGTGGTGATGGTGGTGGTGGTGATGGTGGTGATGTGTGGTGATGGTGGTGGGGATGGTGGTGGTGGTGATGGTGGTGGTGATGATGGTGATGATGGTGATGATGGTGGTGATGATGGTGGTGATGGTGGTGATGGTGATGGTGGTGATGGTGGTGGTGGTGATGGTGGTGATGGTGGTGATGGTGGTGGGGGGTGGTGGTGGTGGTGATGGTGGTGGTGGTGATGGTGGTGGGATGGTAATGATGGTCGTGGTGATGGTGGTGGTGATGGTGATGATGGTGGTGATGATGGTGGTGATGGTGGTGATGGTGGTGGTGGTGATGGTGGTGGTGGTGATGGTGGTGATGGTGGTGATGGTGGTGGTGATGGTGGTGGTGGTGATGGTGGTGGTGGTGATGGTGGTGGGATGGTAATGATGGTCGTGGTGATGGTGGTGGTGATGGTGATGATGGTGGTGATGATGGTGGTGATGGTGGTGATGGTGATGGTGGTGATGGTGGTGGTGGTGATGGTGGTGATGGTGGTGATGGTGGTGGGGATGGTGGTGTGGTGATGGTGGTGGTGGTGATGGTGGTGGGATGGTAATGATGGTCGTGGTGATGGTGGTGGTGATGGTGATGATGGTGGTGATGATGGTGGTGATGGTGGTGATGGTGGTGGTGGTGATGGTGGTGATGGTGGTGGTGATGGTGGTGGTGATGGTGGTGGTGGTGATGGTGGTGATGGTGGTGGGATGGTGGGGGATGGTGGGGATGGTGGTGGTGGTGATGGTGGTGATGGTGATGGTGATGGTGGTGATGGTGTATCGTTGTATCTTTTCTTATTTACTGATGTCTTCTGTCCTTCGCTCTCAGTATTTTTTCTGTCTCAGTCATTCTATTTCAAATACATCCACACAACACACACCACACACACACACACACACACACACACACACACACACACACACACACACACACACACACACACACACCACACACACACACACACACACACACACACACACACACACACACACACACACACACACCAAAAAGTGTACATCTCCGTGTACATACACTGAACGTTTACTCTGAACTCTGTTTTGGAACTTAAGCATTCCTGACGCAAGTGTAAAAGTGCATTGCGGTCTTAATAACCACACGTGCAGTCGATAGGTTTTAAACCCAGCACTCGAATTTATTTAATTTTCTCTACGCTAACACCCTAATCTGCTGGATTTTTTGAAGTAAAAACCGAGGATAGATAAACATTTGAAACGACATTAGTTTGCTAGACTACGTATTGATGGGTAGAATACTGACGTAACCAGAGATATTGGTTGAATTAAGAAGAAGAAGAAGAAGAAGAAGAAGAAGAAGAAGAAGAAAGAAGAAGAATACGACAATATTCGCATTATTAGCCCCGGATTATTATTATTATTTTCTTGGGGAGCGCTAAACCCGTAGGGATTATACAGCGCCTGTGGAGGGGGGGATGATGGAAGGTATTCAGGCTTAATTCAGGGGAGTGGAGCACAGATCCAATTCCATAGATCAAGAACCCCTCACCAGTGTCAAGGAAGAACCCCTTGACGGGTTTAACCCCTTGACGGGTTTAACCCCTTGACGGGTTTAACCTCTTGAGGGGTTTAACCCTGGAGGATGAGAAAAACCTCAGAATAATGTGAAGTATGGAGGCTTATTTCCGTTGGAATCCTTAGGTCTTCTCTCAGAGTGCGACCCCTAACAATTTGAAGGGAAAAAAACAGGTACCTACTTTCTGATTGGCAAACAGAATGAGCGCATTAGGAGCTGTGAAGGAGACTAACAACAGTTTGGGATTCGAAAGTAGGTACGGTATAAGCCAACATAGTTTGGGATACTCATACAGGATTATCGAGTGTCATAATGAGGGCCAGGAGCTGGGGCTTAACCCCTACAATTATATGTATCGATACGCAAAAATAGAGAGGAAAAAAAACAGTGCAGTACACCCCTGCATCCTCAACACATACACCACACCATCCCCAACACCCACACCACACCATTCACAACACCCACACCACACCATTCACAACACCCACACCATCCCCAACACACACACCACACCCCACCATCCCAAACACCCACACCACACCCCACCATCCCCAACACCCACACCACACCACACCATCCCCAACACCACACCACACCATCCCCAACACCCACTCCCCACTGCGGACCTGGCCCAGTTTCTCCCACGACCCGCTCGCTACCGCCATCTATCGCCGTCAACGGGAACGGTGTGAGATGAGGTGTCGCAGATGGACCACGATGCCAGCAGTGCGAGCGTAGCGGCTGAGGAGGTAGGATGTATGTGCCTCTCAGCCTCGTCTCAAGATGAGGCTCGCTGCAGCCTTCCTCATGCGTACTCAATCATCACTGAGGATTTCTCGATTCGTACATAATTATAACTTTTTATGCCTTGAATCGTCAACGAATACTAATTTGAATTCCTTGATTCGACGACAATGATTCACTTGGATTCCTTGATTCATTAACGTTTATTACTGTTGCTGCCTTGATTCATCGCCGTTTATTACTATTACTGCCTTGATTCATCACCGTTTATTACTGTTACTGCCTTGATTCATCACCGTTTATTACTGTTACTACCTTGATTCATCACCGTTTATTACTGTTACTGCCTTGATTCATCACCGTTTATTACTGTTACTGCCTTGATTCATCACCGTTTATTACTGTTACTGCCTTGATTCATTACCTTTCATTTTACTACCTTGATAAATCAACAAATATTAATGAGGACTGAGGAACAATACACTGACTAACAACACACAACCCGCACACAGAAGAACGAAACTTTCGACGACGTTTCGATCCAACTTGGACCCGTTAACGAGTCACGAGCTAATGATTCAAGTCGGAACTGAACGTCGTCAAAAGATACGTTCTGTCACTTGTATTATTTGTGCATTATAATGGATTCCAACATCCAGAACGTCCTGAAAGCCGTCGGAAACTCTTCCTGCCGTTGTTTCCACTAATATTCCCTGGGTCTCTTACCCTGATATCTTGCGCTTCTCTCGTGCTGATGTTAGCTATGGTCTGTGTAAGTTGCATCACGCTCTCATGGATATGGAGACTGTTAATGACCCTTCCAGAGCTCTGGCTCCCGGGGCAAAAGAACTGTACACTTATTGGGAGTTCGAAGCCAATCGACTACATGTACGAAGGGTCGCTTGTTTTCCACCAGCCAAGGATGCTGTGGCCTCTCGAGACTCAACTCTCACCGCACTCGATATACACACACACCGGGTGATATACACACACCGGGTGATATACATACACTAGGTTATATACACACACCAGGTGATATACACACACACCAGGTGATACACACACACACACACCGGGTGATATACACACACCGGGTGATATACATACACTAGGTTATATACACACACCAGGTGATACACACACACACCAGGTGATATACACACACACCAGGTGATATATATACACCGGGTGATATACACACACTGGGTGATATATGCACTTTTCGGTATATATAACAAAGCAGTATGTACTCTCAGGCCTCGGTACTTCCTCATTATCTATCGACATCACCAGAGAGATAATTATTTTTTTCCGCGTATTTACTAATCAGTGTGAGAGAGAAGAGGTGGATTATTTTTCCCACAACTTAGCGAAGTCGGGGAAACAAATGGCTTCCCCCTAAGGGTTTAGCGCTCCGCCTTTCCCCCTCCTAGGATCAAAACCGGGAAAAAATGGGCACTGATTACGACACAGGAAGTGAAGTGGAGCTTAATCTGGGCATCTCTAAACCCTTCTTTCCCGGACATAGGAGACCAAAGTCTTGCCCGGACCTAGGAGATCAAAGTCTTGCCTGGACCTAGAAGACCAGTCTTGCCTGGACCTAGGAAACCAAAGTCTTGCCTGGGCCTAGGAGACCAAAGTCTTGCCTGGACCTAGGAGACCAAAGTCTTGCCTTGGCCTAGGAGACCAAAGTCATGCCCGGACCTAGGAGACCAAAGTCTTGCCTGGAAATAGGAGACCAAAGTCTTGCCTTGACCTAGGAGACCAAAGTCTTGCCTGGGCCTAGGAGACCAAAGTCTTGACAGGACCTAGGAGAACAAAGTCTTGCCCGGACCTAGGAGACCAAAGTCTTGCCCGGACCAAGGAGATCAAAACCTTGCCCTGACATAGGAGACCAAATTCTTGCCCTGACCTAGGAGACCAAAGTCTTGCCCGGACCTAGGAGACCAAAGTCTTGACTGGACCTAGGAAACCAAAGTCTTGCCCGGACCTAGGAGACCAAAGTCTTGCCCGGACCTAG